TTGGACTAATCTGATATTAGTTAGACAACGGTGTGTTCATTTATCAGGACAGTCATATTTATGAACTTAATTATTGTGGATAGTAATAGTTTCAACGATAGTCAAGGCAATATACATACAAATAATAATAAACACTGAAATCTAGACACTCATCAGATGAATAGGGTAACAATACAAACGATCGCTACGAAATACACAGATAAATGTACACTTACAAATGGCATTAAAAATGTATAACAAACTGAATCGACTCCACGTTTGGCAGCTAAACGAAGTGACTGACACGGAATATCATGCCAAGTGGCTATAACAGCCAATTGTAATTCTTTAGTTAAAAGTGGATGGAATCTGTTAACTCCACGATTCATAGACTGAAAAAATAACGTGTTTTTTTTATTAAAAAAATGCATGAACAATCAACGAATTAGTAGTGAGCTAAATAATACAAATTAGAATATTAAAACAATGAGAATGATAAAATTATTTCAATACATTTGTTTGTCTTGTTTTCTAGTTCTCTAATATGACATACAGTTAATCTGTAAATGTTAACATTGACTGGTACCAAATGGGCAAATGTTATAAAAATTATGATCTTATATAAATATCATGGTTGACGGACCGATATGCACAAAACAAAAACACTGACAAAATGTAATAAACAATTGTAAACCAGTAAGTAAATATTATTTGATTGTTAAGATCTATACAAAACAAAAGTATACAGTTGAGCATCATGATGATAATCATTATCACTGTTTTATTGAAATGCCACAAAAATAATATACAGAAAAAATCGACTCATATAATGTAAACTAGTCACATGAATAATGCATAATGACACACTAAACATGATCGTATTTCATCATAAATCAGTAGTATGTATATATTACTAAATTTATTTATCTGAACTACTAGAAAATTCAGAACACTTTCCAGTACACACCAGTAATTGAACAATGGTTAGCTGTTTATAATTGATTACTTGCTTACATTTAATTTGACCTATATGTGTATAAACATTTTTTATGCGTTATCTCTAACATACTCTGACAACAATAACAATAAATAAAAAAGTCAAAATAGGCTCAGTGACATATTTTCACCAGTAACCGTATCTGAATGACAACGATTATGTATGTACTAGTGAATAAGTTGATATATGTCCGTAATGAAAAATCGATCAAAATAGCTTAAGTTGAAATGAAAAAAATATCTACCTTCCAAGTGTACATATGAAGAAAATGCGATCGTATAAATCGATGGTCAAAATATGTTAAACACAACTGAGACCAAACTTTTTTTAAAAATTTAGACATTAAAATGTCAGTGTAGGTGGATTATCTTTTAATCGATTAAAAAAATATATCATAATAAACTAATAATCACTTTCATAATAACAATCTTCTAAATTTGATTACAGGCAATCCTTTCTATCTTTAATACTAGCTAATTCGCATTGATTGATAATCTACCCCTAACTATTAATGTCCCATCGAGAAAACTTACATAGTGTTAGATTTAGTACATAAACCAATTTTCATGCTTTTAAATATCATTGTAATCATTTAACATCATAATTCCTAATCAATATAAATATTACCGTGACCAAATGATGTGTTCTATAGCATTGAAAATATTATTTGAATAAATGATTTCACATTATAGTGCCAAATTTCTTGATATTAAAATTACACACCCTAATCTTCGACTGAGTTAACCAATAAATCTACGAGACACACTATTCAGTTAGCGTTGTTTGAACAGTAAGTGGAATTGTTTTTCTTCAAGTCAATATGGCTACTAAGTCAAACAAGTATGTTTTTTTTCCAAATATTTATTGGTACGAATATGAATAAGTAAATAAATGAAAATCAAGTGAAAAGTTTTTGTGTGTGCATAAATTACACTTACAGACTGGACGGAAGTAGATAATGTTTGATTGTATCTATTAAGATTGTTAATTGCAAGATTCATTTGATCCGGTAAACTATTGAATCGGACAAACAAGGTGTAAATGTTATCACGAGTGGCATCTAATTTCACAGGTCCATTCACAAGAGTTTGAATATGTGGAGCTAAAGATTCCTTTATATTTTCAAAGAAAAGAAAGCAGAGAAGTTTACCAGTAAGACAATAACAGATACATAACATGTAGGCAACAAAATGACTTGAAAGAGAACTATGATAAAATAACCATAACCTACGTCAGAAACCTACATTGAAAGTTCAATACGTCATGTGTATTCCGAGTCAATAGATGAATCTCGGGGTAGGAGATCAGCCCCTAAGTCATCACATGGAAATATTATCTCTAAAATAACGTTTATGTAATGTTGACACATCAACAAGAACCTTGTTACATCGATGAAAAATAAATGGGAAAGTATGACATTTAAGAACTAATAACAAACTCATGTATGAAATCGATGCTACGTATTCTATCATATAGTGGAGGAACTTATATTTAGTCATTTAATATGGAATTCTTCAAAATCCATAAAACCAAATTATTTCTTAAAATGTAAACTGTCGGATCTGCAATCACTCAGTAACTGAGGAGAATATAAATCAATTATTTGAGAGTTTTATATTTACTGATGTTGTTGCCCTTTTTCCACTCCTTGAAGACATTGGGAAACAATAGACTTGGTTAGAATGCATAGAAACAATCTGCAGTATATGCCATAAACACTTGTTGATAGCTAATTATAACACTGTGTTCCTGTGTGATTCTTATCTACAATTGATATTTACGTGTATATGAAGACATTCTGAAGCAAATATCAACTGCTAACGTAGTGTGAAGTGGACAAAACAATTGTCGGTAAATCATTTGTATTGTTTCTTGAATCCTCCCATTGATGTTTGGGATTGCAATTGATCAGTTTTCTATTCTTGAAGAGAACGGTACTGGGTTTGATTCCCGGGGAGAACATCAACTCTGGCATGCAGGTGCATCCGGCTAATGACATAGCTTTGGGGATTAAAATGTCTTCTCCACAATTTCAACTTCAGTGTTCTTCCCATCATAATATGGTTACATGATGTGCTATTCGCATTTTTCACAGGATTATTGATTTCTAAACTTATTTTCATCTTTTTCAAAGCCATTGTGACCCCATTTGTGTACACCCAATGTACGTTTAGGTAATCTTGTTGACAAAATTAGAAATCAATCAAAATTGGACTACGTTTTATTGCTTAGGTTAGGACTAAGAATTTTTATAAGAATCAAAGCTACAAGTGTTTACCTGAATTACTAAGTCATAATACATTCACAGCGTTATATCCTATTGTTATATCGTATTGTATAGTTATTAAGTAACCAGATTATTGTATATCAATATGCATTCCTTTTATCATCAGCTTTCAAATAACCCATTAACCACTGTAGTGTGATTCACTATTCTTATTCTGCTACCAATTTATTATCCTGTATCACCGATTCACACATCCTTTCTCAATTCATCATGTAAAATTATTTCTTATTTGATGATGTGACGTGATTGGACATGTCTGTACATAAACTGAATACAACTGAAAGATAATATTCATACAGTGGAGGTCGATTATTATGTACTGGATTCGGCGGGAAGGGCAAGGTGGGAAACCACTGTGTGGAGGACCAATAAGGATTTAGAGTTGATCCAAGGTTATTAGTGCTGAAACGAATTCTCATTGGTGTTTTCGTTATATGATATTAGTGAGTGACTATAAGTCATAAGACAGCATCACAATACAAAAAAACAATGTAATTAGAATTTTTTATATAAGTGAAAATATCTAGTTATAAATACCACATTCACATGGAAAATATAAAAGGAATTATACAAATATGAACAAGACTCACCATATTTAAAGCCTTCAACCTTGACACAAATTCACCAAGATTGTCAATAAAAGTTAGTGGAGTACTGACCTATTATACAAATAAAAACACATACTGTGAAGAAAACTATGATTCTGTTTTGAGTTTTTCAAATGAAGATAGCAGTTTAAGAGAAAGAAATGATGTCAAAATAATAATCCTAATAATCATAATACACTTAAGTGAAAACATAGTCATAAACAGTGGAAACAAAGTTGTAAATTAATTACTGGAACAATAGAACCAACCATTTATAACTATGAAACTGAGTGCTTCATAAAAACTGGTGAACAACTCAAGAAGTACGAAAATTATAACCATCTCAAAGTATTTCACTCATAGCTCATTCGATATTGAAATGAGATCCCTTCTTTATTTGCACCTATTCACTGCTTCCGTTACATGATCACAGCAATTAAACTTTTCACACAGCCATCGTAGTTATAAGAGGGAAGTGAAGGTGGTTTTGAGCAAGAAAGTTTCTATGCCCAGAAGTCGAGAATAAATCATATCAATTCATGCGATCGATTTAAAAATGAAAATGATATTTCTTCCGTAATAATAAAAAACTATGATTGCTTTGAAGGAAAATACCAATGATTAAACTACAGAGACAATCAAATATTCAGTTTAATGATCGCAATCAGGGTATAAGTTACATTAAGACAACAAAAATCCAGCCACCCCTAATAACATAGGACCACGCATATATATATATATATATATATATATATATATATATATATATATATATATATATATACATCGGTCCAGGTTCCCATATCTCATTAGTACAACAAGATCAACACCAAATTCATAGAACCAGTCACTTCAATAGTAGCGATATATGTAGATAAATATAGCATATAAGGATATGATACAGAGAGGAAGAATTAGTTCGTAGAAAGAAAGGTATAAAGTAATTTTAATCTCACGGTTTAGATGAAAACAAAGAGTGTATACACCTACGTCATTGTGATCGATTCTCAGCCATGTCACCCAGTCTCCAACAATGGCTATGATTTACACAGAAAGTAGGACGGAGCAAACCGACGGGCAGTAAACCTATCCTTTGGTTGACAGATGTTTATTTTGTTAGTTAAACCCCATACATTATTTATTTTTTCTTACATAAGCATGTTACCCTGTTTAAGAAAAATCATGTTCTGCTGTTTATTATATACTAGCTCTTTCAATGGACCTGAGTCGATAATCTGGTCTTGCGAGCAGTTGCCATACTTGGTTACGTTGCAATCATTGCATTTTAAATTATTTCCACAATCCAGAGACACATCATTATTTATAAACCTCAAAACCCTTTAATATAGAATTGTATATACGCACAAAAAGATGAAAATGCATACAAATGACCGCTGTCACATTGATTAATCTTACTACTGTAACCTTTACGCATTTGTCTACACTAGAAAGCACTTTTTGAAAAGTTCGTTTATAACCTATGTTAGCGCAACAAACATACATTGATGCAAAAAATACTTTAAAAGGAAAAAACCGCGATATCGCTACTAATCACTTCTTATTTAAAGTATTATTTATGTTATTCGCTATAGTTGAATAGTTAGTTTCAAACACCAAAGAACTTAAATGAGATATCAGCTTTTAAATATCAACAATACGACGAGAATTATCTCTAAAAAAATGAGTATTGTCAGTTTATAATCGTATTTACATTATCGTAAATAAGTATGTATGTTCATTGTTTGCTTGAGACATTAACACACTAAGAACATAAAATCCATAAACAATCTCTAACTTTCCCTTCCATGCTTATAGGTTGAAAAAAAATACCTTGCCAACATATTCAGAGATGGGAATAACGAGTTTTATAAGTACTCCAGCCTGAAAAAGTACAGAAGAGCGAGGGGCACTACATTTACTCGATAATTTTCGTGTCGAATTGTCTATAAGACACTATTTAAGTTTTACTAATGCACTGTTTTATAGGAGAGTTAGTAGCTATGTTGGTCGAAGATAATATCTCCAAGATGTTTCCTTTGTTATCTTGAAAGATAATAAACAGAACTAAGTGTGTGAAATTTCTCAAAAAAACCTTCCTCTACAATTTCGTTAAACGATTTAGTCAGTACTGAATAGGGAAAACTTTAATAGATACATAATTCCCTTATGCAGAAATTCTCATTTACTTAAACTGAATGTTGCAAGTGCATGTTTGTTTCTGGAATGGTAATTACAAAAGAAACGAAATGTTTAATTGACATAAATGTTTATTAACAGGGATGAAACATCCAGAAAAAGTATTTGCTCCGTGAAGATTGATATTCTCAACAAATTCCTTTAGGCTATAAACATCATGCTGAATAAAAAGTGTCCAAATGATACTGATGATAAGAAGATATCTTTCGTTGTAACGAGTAATTCCAATATAATCTACTCTGGAAAGGTACCAGATATCTAATACAACAGAAGGAACAGAAAAAAGCATGAATAAAAGAATATCAAAAGTTTTAAACTAACTTGGTTGATAGCTTCCTTGAAATTAACAGCAGAAAGAAATTTGAGACGTTCAAAAGCTGCTATACACGACCCGATAGTACGGCGAAATGGAGACTCTATGTCGACTTTCTTAAATGACTCGATGAGACCCTGCAAAATTCCGTCAATTGCCTAAAATATGCAAAAAATTGATATAACAATAATTTGTAAACACATAATAACTGAATATCATATGAAACCTAAGAATGTTTTAATGTACGTTGCAAATTTGAAATAAATAAAAGTTGAAACCAAGATGAGAAATCCCAATGAACCACGTCAGATAAGTCTGACAAGCTAATTTAGGACTTTACAACATGCTAATTAATTTACAAGTTAAAAAATATTCTCACCCTGTACTCTGAGCTGAATTCTCTTTTTCCTATTCAATGACATTATGGAAATGGAATTCGAAATGATCCTGTTACGTATTTCGTTATTTATTTTTGTAACAGACAAAAAAGTGCACCATGATACACCAAGCTATTCAGAAGGTTGAAATATTTCTCCGTTTATAACAAAATGACTCTTTACTGTGGTGCATAGATAGAATACAAACGAATATATCATCGATCTCTCTCGAAGAAACGTGTTTCAAATGACTTATGAGCTGTACATACAAATCTCCACAAAGAAACAAGGAATTTTATGCACGTACGGTTAGACATTAAAAAGAATCTAATGATCACTTCTCAACGAATTAACTAAAATTATAGTGTTATACGGTGAGTCAATTAGTTTGATTCTTACTAAACAGATAATCCAACTGCAAATGTAGGAATTATCATACATAAAGTGATTAATCTTGTAAACCGTGGGAATCGATTCTATTATTATTTTGCCCTAAATTTATACATACCTTCTGTCAAATAGACAGCCAGTGATTATTTCAGTTAGTTAAATAACAACCAAATGATCGTCGCAGTTATATCAAATCACTTGCTACCTTAATTATGGTCGAAGCTATTCACCAGTTATTCACTGTTTAATACGTATGCGATATCTAGCATTTTCAAGCAATTAACCGCTCATTTAGTGGACGATTGCTGAATAAAAGAGTGTAATTTCCACTTTAAATTTCATTTCAAGCATTTGAAGTTCGTTACCAACACCTGTCAGCTATGAATACGTTAGTGTAGCTCATTCCAACATGCTGGATGAAAAACACAAATGTAGCGAAAGTTAGAGCCTGGAATGAAGTCGCGAATGAAAATTACATTCCTATATACAAAGATCATAAACTAAATGAATAAAAAGAATGCCCGAAAGTCATGGATACCACCTATTTGTTGAACAATTAAAAGTGGATGGATAACCTTAGCCTTTGTTGAATAAATAATATTTCAACTGCATGCACAGTAATAAAGGGAAAAGGAAAGACTAAAATTACATTTGAATAATTCATTTCCCACACTACGTAAGCAACTGGATGTTGAAGTCAACTAGTAGATATAAAGATATCGACCTACAGACGTAAGATTACTTTACAGTTGCGAGATGTACAGGAACACTAAACTGATTTTCACATTTTAGCTATTACGAATGATTGGATGACTCAGATAGGTATTGCTCTGTTGTTTTCAAGATTTATAAATATTTACAGACCAATTTTTACAATAAATAAATACATCAGGACTACACGTTAAAAATACAGTATTAATAAAAACTCTGTTCCTTATTCAACGAAACTAATAAAAGTTGTAGATATGTCACTAAAATAAAAACTAATCACAATTGCGAATGATGTCAAAAATTGTTTTCAAGTCAAAGAAAAAACCGACTTACATCAGCAAGTATAGGGGAAACGAACTCTCCTGTACTGATTGCTTCTACGAATGGTTCGTTTTCACATCGAGTCAAAATAGCATCTGACAGATTAAAACGAATAATATCCAACGTTGACCTGATAGCCTCCAGTTCATTTTTATCAACATGAAATGTCGTAGATTTAGACGAGTTCGGTAGTGACCCTTCAACGGCGAGAAAAATTGATTTCAAACTTTGAAAAACGTATTGGTCCATTTTTTGGGGACCATCTGGATAGCGACCAGTCAGATATCGACAAACTTCAGTTTGCAAAGTTCCGCCAAAAAGGAAAGGTACCATGCAAGAGACCATCAAGATAGTTGAGAAAAGAAACATGAATCCTACACCTCTGAAAAAAGGTAATGTAGCATTGGAAGTTAATTGCAAGAAGCAATTCAATCAATTCAAAAACAAAGTTTCCATAGACATCCATGAATATTGAAAAGAAAATATCATCTATCACTTGGCTCTTCACACTAACTGAACTTCAGTTTATGAGATTAAAGTTAATAACGTTAACCTGAGTAAGAGTAAAAGTATGTTTCGAAACTGTAATCTAAACAGAAAAAGTGGATATATAGTCACACCTTGATTAAAATCTGAGAACAAGATCAGAAAACTATACTCTAAACTACGGGTAAATATAAGGCTCTCTAAACTAAACAACCAGTGGTAAAAAGATATTTGACGCCCAATATAGTCTCACAACTAAAGATATAGAACACTTGTGGAATTAAATATCATGAAAAGGATAACAGATGGATTTATATGATCGGATTATATTTAACCACGAATAAGAGAGGAAACAATCACCTACGTCTCCAAAAAAATCAACATGATTTACATTTTATGTTAAAAATTGTAAGGAAAACCTTTATATTTCCCTATGACCAGTTCCTCATCTCTTATTAACACGCTACTTAATTTCTGTATTGAAGAAAGAATCAACTGATCACTTTAAAAGAGTTTACTCTTTTATCTATAGCACCCAACGCAAATGTTACTTAGTATGATAAAATAGGACAAAAAATCAAATTGATCACATATATATAAAGGATAAAATATCACACTTACGCAAGTAAAAAATTGGCGCCGACACCCCGATTACACAAACGGGCCTCTTCATATGGACGATCACCACAAGTGCCAAAACATAGTCCAAGATATAATATCAGGAAAATTAAAATAGGAATGCACAGCAGAGCCACTCCGCCATATAACACAAACTCGACAGCTCTAGAAATTTTCATTGAAGATAGCGTATAACTTTAGGAACTTTCAATAAAAAATGATATAAGAATAAATAAAAATGTCAACTCTGTTTGTTACTGTTTACACAGCACATTCGATAAGTCAGCTACAACGTGGGACCAGGCATATATATGTGTATATACATCGGTCCAAGTTCCCATATCTCATTAGTACAACAAGATCAACACCAAATTCATAGAACCAGTCACTTCAATAGTAGCGATATATGTAGATAAATATAGCATATAAGGATATGATACAGAGAGGAAGAATTAGTTCGTAGAAAGAAAGGTATAAAGTAGTTTTAATCTCACGGTTTAGATGAAAACAAAGAGTGTATACACCTACGTCACTGTGATCGATTCTCAGCCATGTCACCCAGTCTCCAACAATTGGTTACAGTAGTCGCGCAGACCCCATCCAAGTAGTTTGCATCTACCAATATGGCTCAGACCATCCGTCTCCAACACTAGTCAGTATTGTGCGTCGTGGTCAAAACAGTATTCACGTATACGTAACACGTGGCCCAACCACCTCAATCAATAAAGATTTACAACCTTATCGACTGATTTACCATCATTCCCTTAGCCGGTGATCCGAACAGATGAGAGCAATATTTCTAAGACATCGGTGATCAAATACTAGTAACTTACGAGTATCTTCTATTATTAGCCGTCAAGTAAAACAGAACGAACTGCTCAGCATTATACTCGTCCTTCAATCGATAGACGGATATCTCGCCTTCGCCATAGGTGACGAAAGTTGACAAAAGCCAAATGAACTTTCTGAATCCATGCAGTTTTCGTCAGATACCAACCCATTAGGGTTGATCAGACTTTCAAAATAAGTGAAGTTGTCGACGCGTTTGACTATTTCACTCCCTATCCTTAGCTCAGGTGTTGACGCAGGCCAGTTTTGAAGTCACGACTTGCATTTAGAGGCATTGTTGCTCAGTTCTACCAAGAAAATGCATTTTATCAGCGTCTTCACCAAAGAGGACTATGTGGACCTCGTAGAAAGAGATGAATGACCAAAAATTCAGTCGACGAGGACGTTTATTCCATCAGTAGGTCTATGATGAATTTGAACAAAATGGAGATAGTGGACAGCCTTGACGGACACTACTTGAGGTTGCAAAATTGGATGATAGTTCGCCATAAGCTCTGTTTGGGAATGGTGGGTAGTTGTAAAGTAGCTGAAAGCCAGCTGAACTGCTCCTTAAAGTGTTTCACGAGCGGCAGTATTCCATCGAGCCTCTCTAACAATGACTGATGGCAATATGGTCTACTTGAGTCCATCGTTGGTTTGGTGCACAGGATTGTCAAGTTAGACGATGCCACTCCTTATGCTTAAAATTAGTGCTTGTCTGAGCACAACTGCAGCAGACGGTCATCATTATCTCTTTGCTGAACCGGAATACTAAAATACCCACTTGAAGGTCTTTTTGTTTGGTTTAAGCTGCCTACTTCAGCATTAAAGTCAGCTGCTATGAGTACTATGTCTGAGTTTAGATTTTTGAAGAAGTTCAGAAAGCTTTCTGTAAAATGATGAAAGGGCAACAACGTGTGTACCTATCCTTCCAAATTCGTACCAAGTCGTTTAGCCGAAAAGCACATAGGCAACTGGTAACAGGGATCTATTCTAATAGTGCTTGTTCCACCTTCGTACTTAATGCTATGCCTACACCTGCCAGTTCACGAGAACTAGCCATCGGGTCGCCAAATACGCGGAGGGTGTGTCTTGTTGGCTCTCCGTTTCGGAGAGGTGAGGTCAAGTAAATGAATACACTAGGATCCTGTACGTGTGTTTAGGAGACACAGCATACATCTACCGTACGATATTCTAAGTATTTAGCCAAGGAAGCCTGCTAACCGATTTCACACAGGGCTTCAATGTGTAGTTTGGAGTGAGGTTTCAGTAGACTTCTAACAGTGTTTCGTTCACGAATCGTTGGCCATGGTGACACTTGTGGAGGAAGCTTAGAGTTGATAGACCAGTTTGGTCTTAGTGACCAAAGGGTGTGATTGCAGTGCCCAAGGGACAACTACCTGAGGTCGGTCACACCAGACATTCTTCGGGATAAGGTGAGGTGTGCATTTTTCGGGTTGACCTTTTCTAGCCCCACTCTTTCTTTTTGGGAAGGCAGTATCGACGTTATGCTGGTTGTCTAAAGGAAACAACTTACTGCCACCACACCTCTGTACAGTCAGCAGTGCGACTTCGCCCTCCGACCTTAGGTCTGCTACTTTTAGTCTTACTGTTCTTGAGCCGAGCTGTCTCGAATGGTAGGACCTTGAGGGAAGATTCTTTCAGCCAGTATAGCCCAGTCGGTTTATTATGATAAGCAAGCCCGACCACCACCCTACGCGTAGTCTTACAAATTTCGCATACATACAATAAGGAAAATGACGCGATGTAATTTTATAATGTGAATATTGGTCGATCGAATAGCTGTCAGAAAGACAGCTAGAAATATGAAATAAGCAATGTGTAGTTAGGTGGTTCCTCTTGAAACTAGCGTTACTACCAGAAGAACATAGTGTCGACTCCCAGCATATAAGACATACAAACGTGATATAATAAAGTATCGTTAACTTTTTAGTAGTAATGAGTTTATAGTAGTCTAAAAATCTGTTAGAAGCATTTATTGCGTTACTTTGTCATTTAGAAAAACGTAAATATAGAATTTGCCAAAACATGGCAATCGCTCATTCCATAAACAACGTAAGCAGCATGATTTCGATTGTAAATTTTTAAAAGAAATTTCACCAGAAATACATGTAACTAGGATAAAATTCACACTAACCGTAAATAATGATCATTTACTTCTTCATTAATCTCCAATGAAATTCGATCACGAATAAATTTCAAAGTAGTGCTTATGTTAACCGTAATATGTTCGAATACACTAGCTAGTTTCTCTCGTGTCTTTGGAGAGTGAGCTAAATCGTTCCAGGCACCTATGAAAAAACAATGTTATATAAGTATGATGGAAATGTACCCTAACAGAATAATTGAATTCTATAGATGATAGTATTAAACGAAATAAAATACAATACAGGTATATGGGAAAACTAAAATAAGTCACCTGTCATAATATGTATTGTCACTTAAGAAAAAAACTGGTTGAACGGAACTATGAACTGTATTTCTAGTATAAACACGTAATGTACAGATGCAAAAAATCAATCTAATGTGATATATATATATATATATATAATCTATCCTTTAATATACGATATAAACATATCGACGATCTGAAGTTTGCTATTAGTGTATTGATTTGTCTAAACTATTATTCGTATTAAAATTTGCGCGGTACTACAGGAGGAATCTGTATTAATTGTTAATATAGTATTTGAAATGTTAAATAAACTGTAGTATACAAGAAAAACAAGAACATTTTCAGAACATATTAATGACAAACTAATGTTAGCTCAGTAATGAAAAATCGAATATCAGATGAAAAAAAGTAATGACAATCAACAAAATACAATTTGAAACATTTTACATATAACATTAGGTAGGAAGATATTTTTCTCTATGAAAGGAAAATGGTGACTTTGGTGATTGCGTACAACACCTGCACAAATTTATGATATGAACCTTATGCAGTAGGATATCGTGACATGTGCTAACGAAAAAAGTAATCTTATAAACATAGAAATGCAAACTAATTGAGAAACATTGGTGCGGTTAATGTGTAAGAAAATGCCAACAATTCTCGTGACATACAGTTGTAAAAAACTAAAGCTGACTTGTCTAAAAAGACACAATTTAACTGCAACTGATTTAGATTAAATCAGTCAGTCAGCTACAACGTAGGACCAGGCACACATATACATCGGTCCAAGTTGCCACACCTCATTAGCACAACACTGAATTCATAGAACGAGTCACTTCAATAGTAGTAATACATATAGATAGCATATAAGGATATGATACAGAAAGAGAATCTTTTCCACTCTGCTTACTTTTATGTCAGTATCAAGCATCGGAGTGTAGGGTGTATGTACATGCCTAATCTCTGACAAAAATCCAGTCTGCAAAGATACTTTTAGAAAGTATTAAAAAGGTGTTTCACATATTCTCTGTACCATCAGACGGAGACTAGGAGAATCCTCAACATTTAAGTGGTTTGTAGAAACATCTAGATCGGTACAGAAGCGACAGCTTGATCAAGCATATCCTAACGAAAAGCGTTTCAAAGTTTAAGTGTATATGTAAGGATGATTCAGTATTGTAAATTATTCGATACGCGATTCTCGTTATTCTTAACACACAATCAACGTCTATCATAACGTACGACAATGCCTTAATACTAGTTTATGTCCGTCTAGCTATCAGTGGAAGTCAGGGATCATCAGAACGACTGTTTTGTTACATATGACACTTCTATCAGCAAGAACCTATAACCCACTGTAGAACTATTAATAAATCATGATCTCTGAATTTACTAGAGTATTAAACTCCAACACATAAACTGGAAGTGATTCATCAACAATATTGTAAACCCATTCATGACTTTCATAAGCAAGTAAATAACTCTCTACTAAACGATCAAATATAACACAAACTATTCGCCTTTCAGATAAAACTACACAATAAAAATAAAAGTAGGCTACAAACTAATGAGTGAAGACTTACGATCCAGATCACCACTAATGGAACGCTTCACATTTGCGGCCAGATTGTTGATAGTTCCATTAAACTAGATAACATTGAAACAAATTAGGAAAAAAGGAATTATTAACTAAAAGAAAACTACCGAATAATTATAAAAGCATATGTTAGAATGAAGATGTCAGAGAACTTCATGATAGTCAAAATATAAAACATTGAATAACACATACTGCAAAATCAGACCAAGCTGATAAATTTGAGCAGTTGTCAAAATATCGAAGCCTTAACTTATTATTATTATTATTATTATTATTATTATTATTATTATTATTAATGGCTTTATTCAGTATTATATTTTGGTACAATATAGAATTTCCAGCACGAAGTATTTCAACAAGTTTCTTTTACAAAAACAACTAAAAGAAAAGAAAAGGGTGAAAAAATATCCAAATCTGTACAAATTTGAGATATGTTTAAGAATACAGGTTATTGACTAGGTCAACTCTAACAACGTGTTCGTCACAGAGTATATTTCCTAGGTAAGGTATTATAAAACTTTTAGACCTTTGCTTGCGTGCATGAATTTAGGTCTCGTTCTACCAGAAGATATACAAGGAGAAAGATGTGAATGAAGATGGTTAATATGTGATACGATAACACCTGCCAGCAGTTTGCAAGACATCAGATATCTATCCACAACCATATTAATAATGACCTCAAAAGATTAACCAAATACCTTGCTAACTGCTTTCAGCACTCTCCACAATACAGCAAAGTCTTTTCTCAAAAGCCCGGGAAAGAATGATGGAAAACAGTAAAGAATAGTAGGTAATATGCAGGAATTGACAAATTGTAAGAGTAAATATCGAGTAATCCCAAGAGCATGCAGCCTCTTTATGTAGTAAGTCAGAAAACTTTCTTTGATAACGTTAAAATATGATAAGACCAAGAGAGGTCAGAGAAACAGGTAACGCCAAGATAATTGACCTTCGACACTATTTACCAAAGAGTCTCCAATTGCACAAGCATTATGGGATCTCAAAATGGTGTTTAGGTGCTGTTCACGTATCATGCTAAAGTTAACAGCTTGACATTTAGACAGATCAAGTATAAGACTATTACCAACAGACCAACAATCAATACGAGACAAAAACTCATTCATTTCTATGGGATGTAAAGAGGAAGATATAGGCATACATACAGTGGGATCATCTGCATATTTCACAGAAGTGTTTTCTATGGAAGATGGCAGATCATGAAGAAAAAAGAGAAAAGAAGAGGTGAAAGAACAGCTCCTTGTGGTACACCTTCGTGAGACAGTAGAGACTCTGAGCACTTTCCTCCAAACACAGTGTACTGTTCCCTTCCAGAGATGTAGGAACATAGTCAGTTGGTTATCCAGCTGTCAGTGTTGACTTGTTGAAATATTTAGATGGAAGAAACAGGTAGCCCAGATATTCAAGCAGGCCTTCGATGCAGCTACTTAGTTCCAAGTTCAAACCCAGAGGGACTAAAATACATAGACAATAGTATCACTAGGCCTTACACAAATGATGGTTTAAAATGGATTACAAGAGCACACGTGTTTAGTAAGAGGAAAGTTGATCAGCTGGCAAGTTATGTCATAAATACCACCAATAGACCGAAAGAAATTTATTGTTTAATTTAACTTCATTTATTCGTGATCCCAGTTTTCAGGCTGATCCCGTTTCGCGATCAGATTCAGATGACAAGGCGATATCAAAACATTTTTACGAAATATTTTTAAAAAAGACATATTTCAGACGAAGTAATTCATCAAACCACATGTGTACAGTGCAGAAATTGTAGATGTTGATTTTATATGGTGTGGATTGATGTTCCAATTAGTTATAATGGAAATTATTGTACGAGTCTAAGTAGTTCAAATAGGCACTGAACAAAATAACCAGACAATCAATATATAAGGATGTAAATGGATAAAAGATAATAATTAAGCACATGAATAAGTACAAAATGAATAATGAGATTACAGTGATACAACTAATGGTCATATGAATGTTGGGCCTTACAACAGTTGAAATAAGACAGGCTTGAGTATGTGTGAATGATAAGAGGCTACTTAGTATTTGAAATTTTCCAGATTTTAGAATGAAGCTTCTTCTTTCAACACATACATAATGGTACAAAGAGGCATCAAATACATATGCGCCACACAAATCTTATTCGATATGTGTGAGGGCTGTGATACTGCCCGGGTGCCCAAACCGAAGCAAACCTTAAATAATATCTCCTAACAGTTCAACATCCAATGAACTTAATGGTAGATAGCCATGCTTTACAGGAATAGCTTTTAATAGCTGAAATAAACTGTGTGATGCAGATCAAAACGATAAGTATTGAAAAACATAACTTTACATTTAGGTGTGTAAAGAAAGGGAAAGTGTGATTGCTATAATAGGTGGGGTCAGAGCTTTAGACAATGAACAGAGGTTCGGTATATAACATTTGAATATACGGTTTATAATATATGGTAATACGATACGATGGACAAGAATTAGGCCTAGTAATCAAGTCTTAGTTTATTCAAAAGCGAGCGACTAACAAAACGGATTTTCCCTAATCAATTTTATAGCACCCGATCATGTTAATCTTTCTAAAAATTTATATATAAACATTGTATTTTATTATGTAAAAAGTCTATTCGTATGGCTAGTGGTCCCATCTTTGGTACCAGCTTATTCCGAGATTTTAGTCAACATTCTAGTCTGATAAGCAGTAACCACTCACATAACTGCGTTCTCCGTTTTAACAAGCCAAAAACTGTTTGTTATTAGATCCTAATCCAAAACACCAATGCTGATAATTATCATGTTCGCACTAGTGACTGGCTTCAAGATGAATTTCCTGGAGTTCTAGTGGGAAGCCGTGGCCATTGGAGTTCAAAAGTGTCTGTTGTGAGGAAATTACTCACTGAAACTAACGGTGAACGGTCGTGCAATATCGTGGATTGGTTGAAGTTAGACATTAACACCGGTGGATGCTGGCTCAGTGGTCTAGAGGTTAAGCGTTCTCGCGCGAGACCGGAGGTCCTGGGTTCAAGCCCCACGCGCGGGATCATGGATACTCATAGCTGGGGGGTCCCATGCTAGGACGAAGTGGCCTTCCAGTGCTTCCAGTTTTTCAATAGTGGTCTAACCCTGATCCATTCATGATATAAATTTAAAATAAATGTTCTGTTGAATTGTTACAAAAATACTGAGATACTAGGAGGGGGGATGTAGAAAAAGTATATATACAAGAATTCAATATCGAAGTTTGTTTAAAAAAACATACCAAGTAATTTATTCATGTAATAAATGTTATCCGAAAAAATAATCTTTTAAAATAATTAGTACCGATGAACTGAGATAAAATTAATAATCCTTACTTCACTGAGATAGTCAACATCAGGAAGATGCCGTTGAATTTGATTAGAAATAGAAAACGCTTCGTCTAGTTGGAACTACAATCAGAAAAATGCACATAATTTCTTTTTAAAAATAATATCACTACGATTAATAATCGAAATCTACACATATTTCTTAAAAATTAGATAGTGTTAGAATTTCAAAAATACAATAATGAATGTATTAGACTTGAATGCATTTTAATACTATTCATTTATTTTTCTCTAAGTCTCATTAAATGTTTTTCTATAAAATACTTTATACGATTTTTATATGAATTAAAACAGGTAACAAACAACCAGCTTTCGAAACCTTGGCAACAATGGTAGCAACAAGCAAATTCCTTCATAAAAAGAAGACTGATTAAATGTCAAGTTGAAGGGAGTGTGTATTTAGACTATATTTTTATGTAGATTCAAAATTAATTTTCTACTCAGTCAGTTGAAGGCGATTTTTTAAGCCAAACTGTTTATGTCTGAACTATGGTAAAAAAATAGCGATTTTTCAACAATGAGCGAGAAATGATAGATCATTTGAGAACACAACTTGTAACCTAAAACCAAAAATATAATTCATGAAATCATTACTTACCATACTTGGTGAAACACGAATTTTTAACTGATCGTTGGCCAGTCCCATCAATTCTCGGCATTCAATGATCTTATCAATGGGACAACCTGTATTCAATGTATCAGTCAAACCCTGACGAATGGTAGGTAATTCAGAGATCACTTCGTAAAGTGAATGGTTAAAGTAATTGATTTGTGAGATTGCCTCGGATCCAGGAAGGAAAGCTCGTGCAGCTTGTAAATAAGAAACAGTGAATACGATTAGGAAAAAAGTTCATGAGTATGGAGTAGGAATTTATGAATTGCTTTGTATTGCTAATCATATGCAAAATTAATTTGAAAATAAGTAAATATTAGCATACATTGATAACTGTATAACCAGTGATATCACCAAACAACCTAGATTAACAGGTGATTTTTCGAACTAACATTTTTACTGGCATCACACCAAAAACATAAAAAACACCCAAAGAAAAACACCAAGTGGACAAGTAAGATGTGAATGCAATGCCCATTTTTCGAAACAGGTTATGTGAGTATGATTCTCGAGGTGATTAATCAACGTTCTCAACAAGCAACTGAACCGTTATTCCAAGGACTTGGGACGGAAAGCCTTCACTCGTTTACAAGAACTGCTTTGATAGCAAAAAACCTTCATGAGTCAATGTCTCAATCTTGTGCCCAAAAAATTATTTCACACCTAACTGCATCAAACTACATACCCTTAGCATATAAAATCACTCCTTGGACATCCGAAAAACAGTTTATAGTTTCATTTCTATTTCTATGTCACAATTTGTTACACTGTCGGGATCGATGTATTTTCAAGTGATAAAGGTAGGAACCTTATCATCTGCATAGTGCTTAACTGCAGCGTTATTCGGGGTCTAATATTGGAGCACTTACCTAGATTCTAAGTGAATATGACTTAGTAATTTGTGAGCATTGGTTGAGTTCTGAGTAATATATTGAAAGATTTAACTATTATTGTCCCCGTCACCTTTAAGAGCTGTAATTAAAGACGTCTGGAGATTTTTAGAAAAATTATGATGTGCAAATATCATAACCACTTATTAACACAAAAGCATTGTGACAGAGGTTTACATCGTTTATTTCTTTTAGTACCGTTATGATAAATTTAACACTTATGCCCTAACCTTTGTAATTATCCTTTGAAAAAGTTGAATGTAAAGCTCTATCATCTTCAACTCTAAATACAGAAGGCTTTAGTACAGAAAGCAAAATATCACATGTAAATTATGTCATAATGTATACATATTAATAAATGATTAAATATACATACTTGTTTGAAATTCTGAAATTGCATCAGATACATTATTCGCTTGAGACAGTTTGGTAAAATCTTCTTGAAAACTGACAAGGCTATCTGGAAGAAAAGTAAGTGAAGTTTTGCTAGTACACAACTTAGATACGCAAACCAAAAACATCATACATAAGATTACAACGGAAATGATTTTAAATAGCTTGACCTTAAAAAATAATAACAAAAAAGTAAATTCCATTCCTCAATTTACTCAATGGCAATTGGCAAGGTAAAAGCAGAATCCCGTAACATATATATGACGATCTTAAGTTCAGATACCATTGAACTTTGATGTACTGTGTTCATACTTATCAAAACAATAGTTAATTTTTTTCGTGATAACTGATTGATCATATTCGTTTGGCTCTTTAATTCAAAACCAAGACACTATTCTGATAGCCTATCTCAAAACCTTCGAATGTGCTTGAAGATTACCAATCCTTACAGGGAACCTTAAACAAACTTATTTACTTTATTATTATTTGAAATTCATTTACTATCTGCATTTTCAAGTCTTGTGAAAAAGCTAATCAAACTATCCAGTTCTCTAAGCCGAGTTACATTTAGTGAGGTTCAGACTTACTGGTTTGAAGTTGAATGCTTAAACTAATGAGCCCTTTCTATATTAGCATGTTTAATGCTTCCCCCTACGCGACATCCTTGAGAAGATACAAATGAAAAATAAAATGTATAGAAATAATTGTATTTAAATTAAATGGAAAGTAGTAAGGTTGATGTATTGATTGATTTAACCTACCATCTACAATTCGCATGAAGCGTTCTTTTTGTTTACTAAGATCTGTTGAGGAGGTATTCTTTGCCATCTAAAAAACAGAAGTAAAAAACACAGTCACATGCTCCTTTCTGATACCATAGGTCACATGCATTACGAATAATCAACATAAAGACTTTTTTTTCAAGTGATCAGAGTTTCACATTTTATTTAGAATAACTTTCAGTGCGCATTATTTTTATGAACTTTTGTCTTTTCTACAGATGGAAATTGTAAAACTATGAGAAATGGGAAGGACCCAACAACACACCTGAACCAGATTACCAACAACTATAATTATGTCAGCATCCAATGGTTTTGACTATCAAACTATATGTTGACTTGTTTATTTAAACTTGATTGACCGCACTTAACTAGTTATAAGGACTACATCATCATTCAATTGCCAAATTCAACTTTTAGAGTAGTTTGTCTACAAGGATTGGATACTTTTCCACAAATTAGGACCTGGACCCGAAAAAACATCGCGAGAAACATAAAACAATGGAGTCAAACGACTGTCGTGGAATTCGAGAAACAAAAATAATTTAGGGAATGAGAAAAGTGTAGCGGTTGAAAAAGTCACACCATAAACTGAACTAACGGGTACTAGGTAAGGATGGCAAATCAATTGATGAAGTAGTGAAACTTCATCAGTTGAGATGGCTGGGACACGTGTTACGTATGCCCAACGACCGACTGCCTCGACGTGCTATGTTCAGTGGTATAGGAGTAGGTTGGAAGAAAGCTAGGGGCGGCCAGACCAAAACATGGCACAAGTCCATGAAGTCACTGACAAGTGAACTGAGTCATGTTGGTAGGTGTAGACTACCTGGTTGGGGACCGCGAGATGACAGCAACCGATGGTTAGAGACCCTGAATGACATGGCTCAAAATCGTTCGCAATGGCGCAGGTGCATCCACTCTCTGTGTTCTCCCAAACTCTAATCTTCTGAATTCTTCATGTCCCTTTTTCCGTCTTCCCAAATTTCTTTCACCGGATTATACTCTTTAAATAACATCTCCAAACCCTAATCTTCCCGATTACTGCTTATACTCTTGCTACCTTTACCACTACGGGATTTGAATCGACCACTGCATCTCTGTGCTAATGTGGTGTGGCAACTCGAACTGATGTACGTACGTACGAAGTTCTACGTTGTTACTGACTGACTGACTGACTGAACTAAGTGAAGGGAGACAAGAAAAAATACTGATAATAGGAGCGAATGTAATGGCAAAAGAAAGGAACTAGTAGAAACAATAAGACAATTCAGAAGTATTTAGCGATACAATTATCTAGGGCAATATGAAACACATCAAGCACCAGCTATCCTGTCTGTCAAATCCAGATCAAGTTTGGAGTTCCTCAGAGAATGGAAAAGCAATTAGTGGTACAGATTGATCTGAATACGTTGAATCAGTAATGAATGTCCAGAGACAAAGCACACAGTCAGTTTAACCCACTGCTGCCATAAATCAGTAGGTCAACAAAATATGAATTTTAGTCCTCAGATCATTAAGTATTTGAACATTCATTTCAGTATTTTACAAACAGAAGTATGATTGTAAATAATAAACTAGACATGAAGTTAGCTTTAACATCTCAAGGATAGAAATAAACAGAAAAAACCACACTAAAACACCAAATAAAAAAATTCCACAACTTGATTACAAATGACAGTAATTTGGGATAGTGTAAAAATACTCGTGTTGAACGAACCTGTACCATATCTTTTAGAGCCTCTTCAAACTCAACAAGGCTAAGGTTAGCTTGACTAAAAGCACCTATGCGCGGGTCTCTGCTGACCAAAGCTTCATGAAATAAGTAGTGATTGATGAAAGCCAAAACAACAGCAGCCCTTCAGAATATAAAAGAGCGTACAAAAAATTATGGTGAATAAAAGATACATTTGCTTTTAAGCTAAATACTACGACGAAGGTAAAATCAAATCTCCCAATATCAGTTACAACGATTTAATATCTTACAATTTAGTTGGACGAATTTTTACTTTATCGTAATAATTAATTAGGAACCAACGTCTGCCTATACTGTTATAAAAACAAAGCCCAAATTCAAATAAGGAATAGACTAACAGACGCGAGTGTTTTAGATACAATTCATTTGTCACAGATTAACAACTAACGATTAAATAGTTAGGCGTGTAATAAGTTGATCACCGACCAGTTACATTAGTAGAATGGAACAAACTGATGTGCAGTAAACTTGTCCTTTGGTTGGCAGACGGATATCTCTCCTACGCCACAAGTTGGCAATAGCCAGCATAGCTTCCTGAAGTTTTAGCGATATTCTGCCAGGCACTAGACCATTAGGACTGATGAGACTCCGAAGATAAATCAAGCGGTCGATACAATTAACTACTTCCCTCCCTACCATTAATTCAGACAATGACGCAGGCCAATCTTGAAGTAACATATTACATTTGGAGGAGGATTTTTTGTCCTTTCTTGTAAACTGGGACGATCAGTGATCGAGATCAGACAGATGAGACTTCACCCAGTCCCCAGATTTTAACTAAGATCTCAGTCAATCTAACTGCTCAAACTAAACCACAATCCTTAAAAATCTCGGGGATTAGTCCATCAAGTCCTGCAGTTTCCCCTCGAGTTAGAGCCTTTTCAACCTCACTGAGTTGAAGGACTTAAATCGATTCGCCATTCAGGTTTCTTGGAGATAGTGAGTATTTAAAGTGGTTGAAGACTGGTTGAACTGTTCCAAAGTGTTCTGTTTATCAGTTCAATCTCCTGGATTGAGTAAATAATAGACACGTTTTTTTCAAAGACCATTTTCTCAACAGCCGTGTTTGTAATGCCCATTTCATTGATAAGTTTGAACAGCTGTCTACTGTTATATATCGCCGCTGCCTTTTCTATCTCTTTTGCTTCCAGGATCCACCACTGCTTACGATTTCTGAGTGAGCCTTTTATCAGCCCACGTTTGAGTTGGTTTTGCTCGTGTTCAGAGCCAGACAGGATGAGTTTTTAGGCATCCATGGTTTAGTAGACGCCGCTGAAATCCATTGACTTTTCTTAATCTAATGGTTTAAGTAGCTGGTAGATATCACTACTGTTCAGATATCACCCCAAGTTAACTCAGGGTGGATATCACTCTCACAGTTGACTAACTGCTTCTTTAGTTGTTCCTAAAATATATTCTTGACTTTTTCATGATCAAATTGAACTCTAAGGTGTTTGCTTGCTGTGGTGAATAGCAGCAACTAAAAATGAGCTGACTAGCAATAAAATATTAGGATCAAATTACTAGTACAGTGGGAAAACAGCTTCCATTATGCGCAGGGGAAACAATAGGCCAACAAGGCTATTTGACCACTCAAGCCCTAAGTTCCAAAACTCCAGGACGATAGACGGAAAGTTAAGTAGCTAGACTGACGAGCTCTATAAAGGAGCACAACTACGCTACCCAATAGCATACTGTGTACTAGTGACTTAAGGTCACTAAAAAGTGAATGATGACTATGAAACTGTACAGATACGAACTATCTGCATTTATTAAGAAACTTGAATTCAAAGAAACGGATATGATAGACTTTCAAGCGGTTGAAGTTTTAGTGAGACATCAACAATATTACTAAAAGCGTTCAAATAGTTATTCCTGATTATTGTTAGCCTTAGATGACTTTTGTTAATAACCACTTAGATCGGAAATATTCCAAAACTGATAAGATAACTACTTACAGAGCTATTCTTATGGAAATGCGTAAAAAACTAAGAGTGTTAGTTCATAATAGTAATATTGACCAGGAAACTATATGTTATAAGTGTCATATAAAGTCACACGAGTGTGACCTTACAAGTACTCGTTACACTTAGAATCGCTTATGGAAGGCTTCGAATACTTAAACTTTGATGACGATAATATTCACAAAATAGATTTTTTAAATAATGAATCTTAATGGAAACAAAAACTGAGAATTTAAAGTAAAGTCACTATCCAAAATATGATAAAGGTTTTTGGGCAAACATCTACGACGTACATAACATAAAGAAAAACAAGCATAGCAGTAATATTATTATATTGCTTTGAACGCGTTATTCTGACTTACAATTGGAAAGTCACAATTAAGACTAGGCATACTGTGTACACAACTCGTTTGCAGGGATCGTGTTTGGAATCTACAAATTGCACACGTCCACCACATTTTCCACAGCACCGAGCACAGAAGAAAACGATTCCAACAAGGGGCATAAAAATAGCAAATAGAAGACCGACAACAAGACATATGCCATATCCCAAGTATGTCGTTACAACCTGTATAGAAAAGTATGTGGTTATATATAAACACATACCATTGTTTATTTACTAAGTTTCTAAAGTATGATATACTTTTTAACATAAAAAACTCAAGGACTTGTAGAACCTAGAAAGTACAGTACTACGAAAAATAATTCGGCCAGTCATCATTTGAAAATACAGTGGATTTTTTAGCAACTAAGGCTGGGAAATGCGCTGAGTACGCACAAACACTCCAACATCAATGCACAACGTTTGCTATTATATAAGCACATTTGACAAAAGCTAGGGATAAATGAAACAATAATATCAGTCCATGAAGTCACTGACAACCGACCTAAGTCATATTTGTAGCCCGGACTACCTAACTGACGTCTGCGCTGCCATCGAGACTAGTAATTCGAGCCAATAGATGACGTAGTTTGAAATTTGGTAGCAATGGGACAGATGCATTCACTCTCCTTTCCCTTACATCCTGAGTTATGCAATTATTCTATGCATTCTATTTCGTGAATCACTTTTATAAAATTATATCTACACCTAATCATATTTTACTGTCATCAATACTACTGTGGTATTTATCTCAATGAATACGTTTCACTACGGTAACCTTGGGGGATGAACATATGAACTAAGCCTGACTATTATTTTTCTCGTAAAGTGAAATCTGAATACTTTGGTTGTGAGCTCCATTTGTTATATAACAGAAGTGCTCTGGATTCTCTTAAAAGCTGTAGTAGTCTATATTTAAGTTTGACAGATGATTACATATTTCACACTTTATTTATAACGCGAGGTTTGGAGACACTTTAAGACTATATCGTGGCAACGCTATTTCAGGAGAGAACAAACGCTCAGACTCTCGACATTTCTTTGAAAGTGAGTAACTGAAGTACTTCCAATTGTCTGAAAAATCAGATGGTTTATAGCGGGATAGTTATTAGTCCATTGTGAGATGAAATGAACTACTCCTATGGGTAGTTAGTTACTCATTTTCTTTCTTTAATAATAAGCCCTACAAAGGAAATAGCTTTCAGTAATTATAAACTCAAGTAAATTTTGAATATGTACACAAACAACTAGCAGTTGACAGTATTAATATTCAGATTTTGTTATGAGTACATGAGTTTAAAGACCTAAGTTAGTCACTTTCTATCATGCTTGTGTTTATCCATCTCATAAAGTATTCAAATGAAGGTGCTCACATGAATTCCCTCAGCAGTTAACCACAGGATTCGACCACTTTGCAGGAAAACCTGCATGGAGCGAGGAAACTAGTTGCGTCTCTAAGACGGCCTAAACAAGTGGTTAGCGGGTGAACACGAGCAGGTTTAAAGCGGTAAAGGTGTGACAAAATACAGTGCCTTTTGCAAAAATCAGATCACAAGGTAAAACAAAGACAGAAACAGCAACTCACGGGCTCAATGCTTCTATATGCGAGTCTTGAATGGTGAGAAGCTAAAAGTCAAAGAGAATTAAAAGTCGGTAAAAACGCACTTTGAATATTGACAAAGGTTTCAAAGACGGCTGTTGGTGGTTTCTGACCACGAATAAGATCCAAAAAGGAATTTGATATCGAGTAAGAAAACTCCACACTATCACGCAGTTGTAGCGTAGTTCTTGCAGATGAATCATCATTCACTTCTGAGTTACATACGGCAATATCAAGGCTTACAAACAAAAACAATATCGTGCTAAAAACGACTCTCATCATTGATACTAACGAATCAGGTCAAGGACTTAAGCATTGCCAGAACAAACGTCCGAAACAATTTGAGCGGAAAACTCATTGTCCAATAAACACACCTTCAAGTTTCAAACTTTGCTAGCAGATATTGCGAACTGTTTCTCCCTTGGTATTTCTGTAATGGAGGAGGGTTCTCCTTTGTTCATTGTCTCTTTTTGTGGCAACCCTTTTGACAAGGATATTGCTTATTAATGGGTGAGATAACCGAAAAGTAACACCTATAGCGACAGCAATAATCAGTGATTCTTGCAGCAACAAAATAAAGACGACATTTCTCTACATTAGTGACAATTTGCATGTAATTGCACCTATATTCAATTCCTGCTATGACAAAAATATACTATTATCTATCGTTTCTCTGTATCAATGGTAAAAACGAATATAATTATTCGGTTCAAATGGTTCAAAATGGTTGAGGAAGGAATGGAGGAAGCTTTCACTCAGTTGGCTTCCGCGTCTAGTAGCTGTTGATCATCAATACCTTCAAGCAGGAACCTAGTTATATTAACCATAATAGAGGAGAAAATTTGGCAAATCATAGTAAGATATCCTTAGTCCTTAATGTTGTGATAATACATTTACATACCACCTCTACATTAGAAATAAACGCTATCTCTATCGTCTTTCCTTCTACTTTGTTGGCCACGGCCTGTGACTGAAGATTATAATAATGTTATAACATCCTTTTAGGCCATCCTACACTACGTTAGAGTTTTGGCCCGGATTATTATCATATTTATCTTTCTCATCACACCGTTGGTGCTATGACGCGCATAGGGACCTTCGGTAATATACTGAATTGATGTGTGGTTGTTATCTCAGAAGGAGCTTATATGTGACATTCATCCCCGAAAATTGTCGTCTTGTCTAATGCACCATTTTGTTGTGTTGTTTGTTACCGTTTTCCTTTACTCATAAATAGACACTTCAGTTTGTCGTGATATTTCTTTCGTTATATCATTCGCGACTACGCATTTTTTATATCTTGAATAAGCTTCTTTACTGTGATCCACCACACACCCAATATTATAGAGTTAAATAAATCCTCTGAATACCAACGGCATTTTCAGTGTTAAATCCTTTCTTAAAGAAGTTAGATTAAGCCACCATCGCTTCGCTCCTTTCAGGGAATCCAATCGCCTACGTAATCTAACATCTAAACTATTAACATCATTTTCAATGAGATCTCTTTGGTGTCCTCTCTAATGAAGAAGTCTTGATAGGTTCAGAAATTTATTGGTTGAAGATAATTATATCTCGTCACTTTCCAGGTTTTTAGTTTGATTGCTTCTAAGCTAGCTGAATATGGTTTGTTTTAGAGTTTGTATGCTTTACGAGTTGGTCTTCTTTGAACTCGTACTAAACAAATGGCATCGTCCGTGAGGTAAAAGGTTTGATGAAGGAGCTACTCCCAGCTACTGATTCACGATGGCATTTTTAGAGCCAGTAATGTGCCACCGAAACCAGGCCAAACCATCCCTGTGTTATACAGACTACATAATTTCAAAAGTGAAAAACTGGAAGTAGCCATTTGCTTGCCCTGGACCTGTTCATGAGACAGTTTGTCTATATAATGTATATCTTTAACCCAAATTTACAAATACGTGCTATTGTAGATCACCAACGTAGATGATCTATGTCGAAAATGATTGAAGGCCTACTCGAGTTAGACGTGAATGGTGTGACAAACTAGCTAACGTTGAAGTCACACCGCGTGGTCAGCACCTTAAATGAACTACCTCATTGACGTATTAAGGTACCACAGATGCGTTGAAGACTGTACAACACAGAAAACGTTATTACAGAAATATATTAGTTAAAGTAGATACAAGCGAAAGTAAGATCACTGCCGCATGAGCCAGTCCATGGCATACGATTAACTGATGCGCGTTAGTTGTCCTATACCATGACGAGGATCGATGATTTGTTCGATAATCAGTGACCCAACTGCAGGATGATTTAGCTAGAGCTTAGTGACATTTTGCTGGCGCTACATAGTTATTCTGATAAAATTCTACTTGTTCCATACACTCACCAAAGAAGCTGCAATACCTGGTTATAAACGTGGGGTGAGTGTAGCGTTTGAATGAACTGACGATACCTTTGTACTTGATGATTGCTTGATTTCGAATTCTAAATACAATCCATTCGTTTGTGCTCACCTAGTACTTCTCGATTCAATAGCGTTATTTCTGGGATTCTTAGTTCGTACTATAATTCATATACTCCTAATCATTATATTGGTGTCGCGATTGAGCCTATAATGGAACGGGTGAACATACAGTCAGATTTTGATGATTTTGAGGATTATTTTGCAAGGTTCGAAATCTGGGCTATGACCAAGGAAGATGATGAGGATGTTAAGATTGTGGCACATCTCCTCACATTCATCGGAAAACAAGCATATAACTTATTAAAAACTCTGGCTTTACCGGAAAGGCCTGTAGTGGCATTGGACAATAGCCACACAATCCACAAAGCTGTGAACACGAGACTACTCAGAAAATAGATATTCAATATTTAACTCGGGGAAATACCTAACAATGGAGAAGGCGCGGAGAAGGAATTGAATGGACTGGGTTTGATCGTATGGCATGGCTCGGCCATGCAGGCGTGGTCCATCTCAATGTTACTTTATATCTTCTATTCATATTAAATATATTGTTCTTTCTCTAGCCCAACCTTGTTCTACATCATGTATTGGTAATTGATACGATACAGTGAGTTGGTGTAGTCGATGATGTGACTTCCACGTAAGATCTTATAGATTAGGCAGTTATATCATGACAAATCTACAAATTTAGGATTAGGTCTATTATTAGAGCAGTACTAATATCATAGTAGACCATAATTCAACATTGGTGAGCCCAACTAAAGAAACGCAACCTATTATTGTTAATCCTTATTTCCACCTTAACCTTCTCAATCGGTTTTTATTTTTGTAAACCCACTATTCTAATAGTCCTTTGATTAATGGTCACATATTATCGTAATGTTATATCTATTAGTTCACATAACTTACTAGCTCATTCGATAATAAAAACTGGTCGTCTATATTAACTAATTAGCTTTGAGGGTTCGTTAACAAGCTTTAATAGCATTTACATGCTTCAGCGACATAGGCTTGTTTAAGCATCAAGCTCTAGCAAACATGACCAGTAAATAACGCAAATATACATCGACTAACAATGCAGCAAGGACTAAATAGTTACCTGGATCTAATATTCAGTGTTCCTTATCTTATTACCTCATCCTGTTTTAAACTATGCACTATCCTGTAATATCTTTTCTTCCGATCACTGCCTGCCTAATTTCATATTCTCGAGTTCCATTGCCAAACAAAAAAGATGACACTTCTCCAAAAACATTCGGTGAGTTCCAGCTATAAGTTTTCTGCCATCATAAGGTCATTTTTAGATGGTTCGTTCAATGACAACCACACAATTATCTGGGTTCATTCGATTGTTCTGATCTGAGCGAGTGGCAAAAACCTCAACAGCATCAAGGACTCTGGAATTAATTGCCATACTGCATGATTTATTCTGGATGCTTTTGGATCAATACTACTCACGAATGGCGTTATATAAGTCGTCCACTAAATAATCTAATTTTCAAAAATAATCCAGGCGAGTTCAACTATTTTACTTAATGATTTTTTTACTTAACATGTATATGCTTTCCAGTTGCTTTTGCCACATATTTGTAAGTGTCCCTAGGCTAAATGCAGTAACTTCTTATGGAATGTTTATAACGCGTTACATTCTTGCCTAAAGTTTCATAAGCAGTTTTGACTTTAAAATTACTTTTCCTGGTCATGTCCATTATTTTTAAATTTTTATATACGTCAACAACCTGCATGTTAACGTGGCCCGTACATACGTTACACTATATCTTCATATCTTTTGAATTTAGAAATCATCTGAATCGCCTTTAACATTTATCAATAAACCCACCATAGTCGTTGTTGCTAATCATATTTGGGTTTATGGATTGGTTTATCATAGTAGCAGCCTAAAATGCAAACATACTTTAGATAATAAGATTAAAAATTTAAGTACTATCAACTGCACTAGTAAAATAACTAAATCCCCAGGTAGCTGTTGGTTAAACAAACGTTTAAAATCAAAACTCCGTAGCCTACTAGAATTAACACTAAACAAATCTTTCTGAATTAAAATTTATAATTAAATTAGGCGTCTCGGATTCTTTAACGTTATAAATTTCTGATAATTTCGAATCACCTAAAGCAACAATACCTATTTTTCCACTGACTAATCCTCAATCAACACTATAACTAGTTAAACATAATAGTTTCAGGATATCGTCATAAAGCATTGTCATGACTTGACAATCACGTAATATGATTGATAAAATTAATGAAACTATTAACAAAATCGGTCAGCAAATTGATTTACAATTATCACTAGCGTTGTTTTTCTTTTATCTTCATTCAATACAGATGATTACAGTATGTTTCTCTATCGGTTGCTTATTCAGTAAATATCTCAAAACCTTGTCAGTCTAATTGATGGTTTAGCGACACAATCATGCATGCAAATAATCAGTATAAGCAGTCGAGCAAATCTCCTGCAAACTGAAAACATCAATGTCGAATTTACCCCAACACTGACTAAGGTTCAAGCCATTATCATAGACATGAGTTGGGAGTGTACTCCCCTTGGTTACAACTTATGTTCTCCCTGATAATCACATGAGCATCAATCACTATTAATCATCTTGTAAAAACTTATTTAGCTAAATACATCTTGCAGCACCACATCACTTCGTAATATGACCTATAGGCTTAACTGATTTTAATAACTTATAACCACTATATCTCAATTAAAGCGTATTCCGCCTTATTATAAACTGCATACTTGCAACTAACTTGTATGCTCAATCAGCCAGCAAGTATAAATATAAATAAATAGTCTGCCACAGATCAGAACATTGAGTCTAGAGCATGTCTCTTACGAATACACTCATGTTTAACGATTTGTTCCTAGCTATCTGTCCAAAATTCATATAATCATCACTTACGTATTTAAATTTTGTTTTGATAAACATTCATGTGTATTAGTAGTATTACTAAATTCTATCACGGTCAAGTAAAAATGAGGTTGAGAAAATCTCCCCGTAACTAAATAAACCGTATCAAACTAACTGGAACACTAGTTGGAATTCTTCTCCACGGTATACTTTTGTTCCTTCGGTTAGCCTACTAATACAGATGCAATTGGAATTCAACTCATATGGACAACTTACCGGCATAATCGTTATCTGATTTCATAATTTAAACCAAAACTAATACCAATATTAACATTTCTACAATATTTATTATTTTAATATTTCTAAACACAAAATACTTACTACCTATACGTTAAGTTATTAACCAACGGCTATTAACACGCATCGTTTCATTATTATTATTATTATTATTTTTATTATTGTAATCCCATTTTTTATAGTTCAAATAATCTTCAACCAAATTTTCATTTTAAGCGTGTTAATCATGAAAGCAGATATTTTAAGATTATTACATGTATTTCCCGACCAGATGCTGCCGCCTTCTTTTTGATTTATCTTTCAGCTTATCAATACCCGGAGGATCCTTATTATCCTTGGTAACCTCCGGCGCGCGACGATCCCATCCAATTTGGTATCGAACCAACATCACGTTGATTCTGGTGGGAGAGTAGTGTAGTGGCATTGGACAATAGCCACACAATCCACAAAGCTGTGAACACGAGACTACTCAGAAAATAGATATTCAATATTTAACTCGGGGAAATACCTAACAATGGAGAAGGCGCGGAGAAGGAATTGAATGGACTGGGTTTGATCGTATGGCATGGCTCGGCCATGCAGGCGTGGTCCATCTCAATGTTACTTTATATCTTCTATTCATATTAAATATATTGTTCTTTCTCTAGCCCAACCTTGTTCTACATCATGTATTGGTAATTGATACGATACAGTGAGTTGGTGTAGTCGATGATGTGACTTCCACGTAAGATCTTATAGATTAGGCAGTTATATCATGACAAATCTACAAATTTAGGATTAGGTCTATTATTAGAGCAGTACTAATATCATAGTAGACCATAATTCAACGGGCCCATTTCGCTTCCTTATACAACTCTCAAGGATCTTCTGCTAGACTATGTTAATTATACAAATTTCGAATGTGGTAAAGGAGGAAGATTTCGTAAAGTGATTCATGAGGATATAAAAAATTCCGCTACATTACGTCACCCCAACTTAGTCCATACTCAAAGTTATTAAGACAATTCATCGAGGAGTTGAGATGCAATTCACGAAGATGGGCACAAGTTTGGTCAATGTTTGTCCTGTGGCAAGTTGCACTCTTTTAATTCATTTAAATTTCGTACTTCTGAGTGCTTTGAATGTGGTGATATTGGGCATATTCAGTCAGTTTGTAATACTAATGTTCATCTTGCTGAACCGAATATTAAGTTCTCATAATGCATTTGTTTCTTGTGGGAAACTTGTTCAATACAAAGCACGATTGTTAAGTGAACTCGATTTTGATTACAATTCTGATGATTTCATATCAACTGTAGCGTGGCGTCGAGTTGAGATTAACTATGAACACCGCTACAAAGAAACACGTGCCAAGTTAATCAGAAGGCGAAGGTAGAACGTAACCAAATAAATCCATAAAATCCCCGAGAAGCCAAATACCAGAAGGCAAGTAATGGACCAAGTCGAGTTATATTTGCTGGCGATCTCGTTGCATCGAGAGGATACCGAGATCGTGCCAGAATACAACCTTGGTTACAGAAGGTAACCGAATTCGCGCGAAGTTACAATCGAAGTGTAAGTATAAGAATGGAAGCACAAAATAGCTGTCATTAGCACAGTCAAACAAAAGCACGTTAAAACAAACACTGGTACAGTTGGTTATAATAATAATTGTTTTTAATAAACCAGTCGTGTTCTCGTGATAAATGTGAGTCATTACACAACTGTTGTTTATCCTTATCACAAAAGCACTTCTAATGTATACTCAAGTCAATGTGAGAAATATGTTTTAAATGAAGCCATATCATTCATAAATTGAGGATATAAAGATCGAAGATTATTTCATGAGGGAGGATAGTGTTGGAAAATCTATGATTCAAATTCTAGATATTAGTGGTTTCGGTACACAACCGACACGGTGACTGTATACAATCCCAGAAACCAAGTGAGTCTGTTCCGATTTCGGTTGTTAATTCTAATACTAATTACTACATTCTAGATAATACAAGGTCTTTATCCAATACACTGTCGGACAAGCACAGGATGAACTTAAGAAGAGGGCGTGCAATCGATTACAGATACTCAGACTCTAATTTAAGCTGTGGCGGATGTGGTGTTTGAATGAACTAATGATTCCGTTGTGCTTGATGACTGCTTTATTTCGAATTCTAAATACAATCCATTCGTTTGTGCTCATCTAGTACTTCTCGATTCAATAGCATTATTTCTGGGATTCTTAGTTCGTACTATAATTCAAATACTCCTAATTATCGCAGTGACAGGCTACTCATTGATGGTTAGATGTTAATTGACGTACACAGAGGATCAAACCGCTTTCGTTCAACCCAAGCAGCCTTACTACTAACAACATCGGTGAACTACACAGTGGAAGCGGTTAGAATTATTCAAGTATATATCTACCAATGGTATAGGAAAGAAGTTACGTGACAACGTAATCTTTATTGACTGGTGAACCTTAAGGATAAACACTGAATGTGACGAGCAAGATGACACTCGAGAAAGTTGAATGTTGGAATCACTTGCAAATTTTGACATGAATGTTTTACTACTGTTCACATTCACCACTGAGCCGACAAATAATTAAATGGAGGTGTTTGTGATGGCTTAGACGTTTTGTAGAAACAACGGTAGTCGTGTGCTTCTTCTGAGGCAAGTACGTGCTACTTTTACTGGCGTGACTTGTGATTCACAACATTTGTTTGTATTTGAGATGCTTCTCAAGTGCGGTTGTTAAATAGATTAAATCAATAAAAATAATAGGCTGTGCATTCGTGCAAATGTCTCTGACGGTTATTGATTTTGCTTATGTTTTAGTATTGCACTATGAGCGCAGTTTTTATCATGTCTCAAAAATGACATCGTGTCCACGTTATGACCATGGAAAACGTAGACCAGGTCCAAACTCGGCGTTAGTTTGTTAGGAATAATTGAAATACACTGAGATTTTGAACAATTTTTGTCACTGTTGTTTCATAATTTTAATCTATATATAAAAAGACCACACTAACCAAAGTGTTTTGTTTAAGTTTACCCTCATTATTCCTGTCCACTTTTCGCATGTTATACTGATTACCCTTCGCTAAACACAAGTATTTACATATACTCCTTTTTTTTACTTTGTTGACTGACGTTTTCTAACTGTTTACTAACAATGCCATTGCATATTTTTTAGCTCTGGTTATAAAACGAATTCACCATCAATTACATGCGAAAACTTTGGGTCCATATCTGACATTCCATGGAATTATTGTTCATACAAAACCATTATTTTGAACAAATATGGAACTGTGGACACGCGCTCTTCCGATAATGACAAGTAAATCATAGAGTTCTTTTGTACTTGTTTTTGTGTTTTATTAACTCTTTTTTTATATTTTTGGAAGTATTAACTGAGTTGAGGTATTCTCAAACTTCTACTGATCCTCCATTCATGTTATTACAGGATCGTCGTCAGTGTATTTTCGTTCGTTTATCACTGTGTTACGATTACTTTTTTACTTCTTTATTTGTTCAACGGAAGGCATGAAAATAAAAAAGGCTACTGTCAAAGGTTTCTCCGTTATTCCCGGACATTCTGAAACTACCATAAAAACCATTATTTTGACATTTGGGATATTACTACCTTCATATGGTATAAATAGTTCTATAATTTGTTTGCCTAGGTAGCAACTTCGTATTTAGCTCATAAAATACGCTCACAAGCAGTCAAATATGCATATGTAGTGGGTACACTGAACATAGAAATGACAGCTGAGGTTGGTGACCTCATCGATCAAGTATCAAGTGCATTCTTGAAACATATCTCCACTAAAGCACTTAACATGCTAAATTACTGGGCTTCAATCTCCGTAACGTCTCTTGAAAAAATCTGGAATCTTGCTTTACAAGATATGAGTATGACTTAAAATTGTATACTGTTTGTTCTTATTCTGTTCGATGCACTGAAATTGAAAGGAATGTCACGTACAAGTTTTTGCTCGTTCTTATTATTGAAGTACGGTATATCGATCTATTTGCAAACCAAACTCCAATTTAGGTACAAAAGTTTATTCGCAATTCACAAAAAGTCGACCCAAATGTCGTTCTTCAACAATAATTATAACAATTACAAAATAAACCTTCAAGTTTGTAGGTTCCCGGGGCAAAAACTCTCAAATACCAAACCAAAGACAAAGAGAAACCAAAATTTTCGAAATAATGACATTGTGGTGGACCAGACGATATATAAATGCA